AGCTAACTCTCTTTCCTTTATACTAATCTCATTTTCCGTGTCAATATCTTCCCAACGCGTAATTCCCGGATCGGAAGGTTGTCGTGTTCGTTCTTCTTCTTGAATAGGAGACCAAAGTCTTGAAGGGGAAGGTTGCTCTTCTCCTTCATCTATTGGACGAGTTTCTAGTCGTCGTTGTTGATGTGGTGGAGGGATGGTGATCGTTCGCGAATCGTACTTTTCTATTTGAACCGCTCGACTAGTGGAGCGTCTTGGAACTGTATTGGCTAGAGGAGATGATGTAGCTGGTGATCGTACTACCGGGATTGTCGTTGTATGAGGAGACTTGTTGTCACGGACCTTAAAGTAAAATTTAGTGTGAGATTGTCAATAATGTGGTCTATACGCCATTCAGTAACTCTTCTGGATCACTTGGTGCGGAGATTGACCAGGTAGGACAACGGTCCGCCAAATTGAAATGTTTCGCAAAAAATAGTAGAAAACCAAAGCTTTTGTTTTGGTTAGAAGGCATTTGCTTTTCAAAAATTCTAATAATTCATCACAAAGTCTTTTAATCAGAAGGCTGGTGTAACCACGATTGTACAAATGGCAAAGGAAAACAACGATCATGGCTGAGATTGAAAAAATGCATTACGCCAAAATCTTAACTTTCACAATTTGTCACGGGAATTACAGCGTAAACATCGAAGTTACGTCATTTGTAGTGGATTAACCAAATTAATTGATGTAACGCATAATACTTAATTGCTTCTTTTCAAAAAATTTCTAAATTTAGAAAAAATTGTATTAGCACTATGCAGCGCTTTATAACAACTCTACAAAGGCGATGAGGATTTTCAAATTTTAAAGTTTTGTACTTGCAAATACTCAGAGCTAAGGCAAGACTAACAAGGTCTGTGGACGGATCGGATTATTTTCGGGTAAAGGTGAGATTATAGAAATTATAATTTCCACAATCAGTTCACATAGCATAGATCAATAATAATTCGACTTAAGAAATTGTAATTTACACGGTCAGCTAACTTCTTACCACTCCCACCCGGACTATTTGCACCACATTGCAGTATTATCGTTGATCGATGCATTTTCAACGTGATCCATAAAGAATGATGAAATAAATTGACATACAATTTGATTTGACCTTTAAAAAAATAATGCCACATATCCCAATGCTTCGCGCGCCGCACATCTATGTATAATCACTTTATTGAAATCGGCTACAGTAATATAAGGTTCATGCCTGTTCGAGTA